TCAACTCGGCACGGGGTCTTCGTGCCTCAGCAGTGAACGTCGCCAAGTTCGCCAAAGCTGTGCGGGCACTCTAGCACGGATGTCGGAATAGCAGTTCTGGGGCGTATGTATTACAGAAGACAGCTACGCCAGGGCTGGTGGAACGACGACCATTGAGAATAGAGTTTCGTGCTCGGAGGCGCACAGTGGCAACGAACACCCTCGTAGACCATCGTATACCATCCACTGGGTGGTCGTCCGCAAGATACAAAGTACGGAAAGTTTCACGCTTCGCGTGGTTGCATGGCGGTGCACCCCAAGCGGCTGCGAGAGAGGGATCCGGGGTCAAGTCCTCAGGCAAGCGAGAGGCCATAGCTGCGATGTTTGGGGGGGACTCGAGGCGAGGACAGGAATGATGGCCGTCCAGACCCCTGATGGCGTTGGGCAAGCGCAGACGCACGCGCGCGCAGGCGCGCCTGGCGCGCTCACGAATGTGCCAAGCAGGCCGTCGCCCTCTCGGCCAGGGATGTCCAATGGGAGGAGAGATACGTAGCACCCCGCAGTTGCGGATAAGAGTGATGGGGCGGCGAGGACGTTGTCAGTCTGCGAGGCTCTGAAGAAGCCCGCCGCAGGCACCGAACTTTTTACAAACTATGCATTGAGCCCACCGCAGGCGCCGATTTTTTCGTTAAAGCATTGTGGGTGGATCGCGGGGTGGGTCGCGGGTGGGTCGCGGGTGGGTCGCGGGCCGGATTGCGGGTGGATCACGGGTGGGTCGCGGGTGGGTCGCGGGCGGGTCCCAGGGTGGGTCGCGGGTTGGTCGCGAGTGGGTCGCGGGCTGGGTCGCGGGTTTGGTCGCGGGGTGGGTCGCGGGGTGGGTCGCGGGCTGGGTCGCGCGGGCGCGGGGTGGGTCGCGGGTGGGTCGCGGGGTGGGTCGCAGAGTGGGTCGCGGGTGGGTCGCGGGCGGGTCACGGGGTGGGTCGCCGTCGGGTCGCGGGGTGGGTCGCGGGGTGGGTCGCGGGGTGGGTCGCGGGTGGGTCGCGAAGTGGTTCGCAGGGGGGACGACGACAACAAATAACAACAACAACAACAACAACAACAACAACAACAACAACAACCACAACCACAACCACAACCACAACAACAACCACAACATCAACAACAACAACAACAACAATCATTTTACCCGAACGCGTGGTGTTCTCCCCAGTGCCAGGGTTTTCATACGACACCAGGCAATACCCCCACTTCGTGGGGGGGCATTACAAGCTCTACCAAATATCCAAACGACTCTTCGCGACCACCCAAACCCAGCTTCCCGCCCTATGACGTTGGGACACTTCACTTCGTGGCATGCGGACGACCGTGGCTACTATTCAGGGCCCCGCGGCCGACGACGACGGCGTGCGCGCGCGAAGAAAAAACGAATGTGTCCCGCATGGTATTATTTGACAGGGATGATGGCCCTGGCAGGTGCGCAACCGTTGTCGCAGAAGTTCGAAAAAGTTGCTCGCAAAAGCCCGTTTGACAGAAATGTTTAAAAAGTGTTGGTTTTCCTACGAATCCGCAAGAGCGCGCGGGATGAGATTTTGACATTTTTTTGTTGAAAAACCATTGGTTTTTTGATGTTTTTATGTTAAAATCGCTCCGAACACTAAGCTTTTGGAAGGATTTCGTCTTGCGCGCGCGAATGTCCACTTTACCTTATTTTTTGCAAGGGATTCTTGAAATTTGATTATATTAGAACAAGAAATGTCATTTTATAGTGTTTTTTGCAAGGGAAAGCGGGGGGGAACAAAACAACCGGATCTTGATCACATCGAATTACCTGAGGCTTCCTCACGAAAATGATGAAAATGTAGCTGCGGCCTAGGCGGCGCAGGGGGGCCGTGCACCAGGGGTCCCAACAATAATTATTCTTTAGAATTAATAATGTTCAATAATCACAACAACAACAACAGCAACAACAACAACAACAGCAATGATTTTAAAACCGTTCGCCCTTATATGCTCGTGTGTCCGATAACGCGTATTTCCCAAAACCCTCGATACCCGCCCTCTACGTATTCGATCGAGCCCCTTTTGGGGGGTATACTCTTCTTCCCTGCAGGCCGGGCCCTGGCAAGTGGCGGGGCGGCCGCGGACCGTTGGCCTGGCCAGCGGCAGCGCTGATCGGCGGGGCGGCCACGGACCGTCGACCCGACCCCAAGAGGACCGGACAGGGGACCGACGACGACGACGACGACGACGACGTCGAAGACGACGGCGACGACGACGACGACGACGACGACGGCGACGACGAGCGAAACCAAGAGCGAGAGAGAACGACAGCAGGGCCGCGAAGGGCACGAAGTAGGCCACGAAGGGCGACAGCGGGGACACGAAGGGAACGCGTATGGGGCCACGAAGAGCGCGAACGAGCGGGGGCCACGAAGCGCAGATAATGCCGGGCCACAGAAGGCAATTATGGGGCCACTGAGGGTGGCAACTGGGCCACGTAGGACAGTGAGGGGTACACAGAGGGCGACAGCGGGGCCACGAAGGGCATGCACAATGGGGCCACAACGGGCGCGACTCCTGGGTGCCTGGGTGTCGGGAGCGCGGCGCTTGGGCAAATTGCAGGAACTTCCAACGCAAGGCTAGTCTTCAGTAACTTGCAAGCCAGTCTCCAGCGCGCGACTCCAGAGCGCCGGGAGAGCGATTCCTGAATAAATAATAAGGAATTCCCACACGAGAGCTCGATTCCTGAATAAAATGCGAGGAAGTCTGGGGCGGGAGCGGGGGTCCTGTCTAAATTGTAAGGAAGTCTCAAGCGAGAGCCGTTGTTGCTGTAACCCCGGGGCCAGGGGGCCAGTTTGAGCAGGAAGATTTTCTCTGTCAAAAAACAGGGTGCGAGCGTCGAGGGGCACACTTTGATTGAGAAAAACAGTATGCACCGGTGGGAGGGGGGATCAACAATAATTATTTTTCAGAAATTAGAATTCAACAACAACAACAGCAACGGCAACAGCAACCACAACCACAACCACAACCACAAACACAACCACAACCACAAGCACAACCACAACCACAACCCAATCCACAACCACAACCACGACAACAATAACAACAGCAACAACAACAACACCAACAACACCAACAACAACAACAGCACCAATCATTTAAGACTGGGGACACTCCGTTCTCACCAGTGCCAGGGTTTTCATAGGAGGCGGGCAATACCCCCACTTTGTGGGGGGGCCGGTTCAAGCTCTACCAAATTTCCAAACGACTCTTCGCCACCACCCACACCCAGCTTCCCGCCCTATGACGTTCGGACACTTCACTTCGTGGCATGCGGACGACCGTGGCTACTATTCAGGGCCCCGCGGCCGACGACGACGGCGTGCGCGCGCGAAGAAAAAACGAATGTGTCCCGCATGGTATTATTTGACAGGGATGATGGCCCTGGCAGGTGCGCAACCGTTGTCGCAGAAGTTCGAAAAAGTTGCTCGCAAAAGCCCGTTTGACAGAAATGTTTAAAAAGTGTTGGGTTTCCTACGAATCCGCAAGAGCGCGCGGGATGAGATTTTGACATTTTTTTGTTGAAAAACCATTGGTTTTTTGATGTTTTTATGTTAAAATCGCTCCGAACACTAAGCTTTTGGAAGGATTTCGTCTTGCGCGCGCGAATGTCCACTTTACCTTATTTTTTGCAAGGGATTCTTGAAATTTGATTATATTAGAACAAGAAATGTCATTTTATAGTGTTTTTTTGCAAGGGAAAACGGATTACAACAAAACAACCGGATCTGGATCACATCGTTTTACCTGAGGCTTCCTCACGAAAATGATGAAAATGTAGCTGCGGCCTAGGCGCGGCGAGGGGGGTGTGCACCAGGGGGCCCAACAATAATTATTCTTTAGAAGTAATAATATTCAATAACAACAGCAAGCGCACTAACAACAACAGCAGCCGCAGCAATACCAGCAACATCAACAATACCAACAAACACACATTCAGAACAACAACAGCAGCAACAACAACAACAAAAGTGCAACAAACATTATCCTCGCCACAGATCACCACTAGAGCCACGCACCCAGGGACAACGAATGAACGTTCGGCCCCCTCACTCTGATCAGATGACAGGAGCAGGCGCGCCTATAAGGCACCACGCCGCACGGGCCTGCGGGATGGCAATTTGTACGGTACTGGTTGCGTGAGTTTGGTCATGCCTCGTCTGGAATGAGAGGGGTGGAGGGAGCAGGAGCACGAGGCGGGAAAGAGGCGGAAGCAAAGCATAAGGATGACAATGGGGGAAGGGGAGGAAACGCGTGGGTGGAACGCGGGGCTGATTGCCTCAGTGGGGGATCCGCCTGGTGCCTGGTTTACACCGTGCGGCGACTGGCAGCAGAGCCTGCGGCCCTGAATGGCCTGCCTTTCATAATGCCACGCTCTGTTGGCAAACCAGACATTGTAACATAGTTTCTTCAGCAGTACACGATCACGTCCTCCGCCCTTGGGACCTCCGTCCCACGGCAGCTGGAAAGTAGACATGCGTCCTCGATGGCGGACATGTTTATCGTATGCCGTTGTTTTATCCGGTACGCTGTGGGAACACCCCCCGCCCGCTTTGGATACGGTGGGTGCGTTCGAAAAGAATGTGTGCCCAGGAGGCTGCAGCCCCCCGGAGATTATTCGTGTAATGAGAGCGGCGGTGATCTCCATGGCCAGCCCAGGATCGGAGTTCCATCGTCTTCCAAACCCTGGATTCGGTATCCACTGGTTCCTTATCCGATGCCCTCACCGTATTTCGGCGACGAGCGAGGGGGGGAAATGAGAAGGAGAAGGCCTTCTCAGAAGGCTCGGAAGTCCCCTGGCCCTGAGAAGTTTTCTAAGCCTTCCCCGAAGACAGAAAATGCTTCTCAGAAGGCGCGAGGGCTCCTGAGAAGTCCCGCCGCCTTCTGAGAAGGCCTTCTCCTTCTTCATTTCCCCCCCCCCTCCCCGCCAAGTGCTGAAGTGCCCCCCTCTCCTGGAGGAACGGACGCCGCCGCGGCACAGAAGGACGCGGAGCTGGCCGTGGCCACGGTCTCGGACTTCGCGGGGGGGTACACCGCGCTCTCGCTGGCGCAGGAGGCTGCGCGGCGGCGGGGGCAGGAGCGAGCGAAGGGGCCACGCGAGGACGCGGCCCGACGGGCAAGACGCGTGGTGAGCCAGCCTTCAGCCCACGAGGACTCGGCATCGCTCGGACTCGTGCATCCTTTCTCCTCGAGGACCCTCGAGCAGCGTCTTGGATCTCCTTGCGAGGAAAAACGCTCACGAGGCCGAAACGAGCACGGGGAATCTCCCGCCTTCCAGGCCCAGCCCGTCTGGCGCGGAGGTTGGCTGCTTCGACGACCTCCGCCCCGGGCTGCCTGCTGCATTTGTGACCGCACGCGCCGGTCTCGCGGCTCCCGAAGCCAGCCCCCCGCGGCCCTTCCCTCCACCTGCACCACGCTCCGTGAGCCATGGCCGACGGGCCCGTGCGCGGCCCGTCGGTCCCGAAGCCAGCCACGCAGCAGCGCGTCTGCAGGATGAGCTCGAAGCCTGTGGGACGCCGCCGGCATGTTGTGCAAGCCCGCGTTTCCACTCCCTGGACTCCTCCATATCCATCGCCATCTTGGAAGCTTGGGTCATAGACTATCTATGTCGCGCATCCTGATTTCTCGGAATCAACCATCATCTCCTCATCCTGAGTTGGGCAGCCCGTGCGAGCGGTTAACATATCTCCAGTCGATGTAGTCAGCACTCGCCAGGGTGGACCCATTTTGCAAAGCCCGAAAGGTGTGAGCTGGGAGGCCGGAGAACCGCGTGCGCGAGGGTAGCTCTTCAACCAGGCTATGGCAACTGCACCCTGGCTGTGAGAAGCCAACGTTTGATTCCCGACTGCAGCGCGCGGCGGTGGCCTGCAGAGGCCGCGGTCCCCCCCCAGTCCACTGAAACCGTGTTGACCACACGAGTCGCGTTGAGCAGCCCGCTGCGGGGCCGACGAGGCCCCCGTGGGAGGGGGCGGGCGAGCGTCCGGACATGCGCGCACAGCATGCTCCCGGCATGGTCAGGCGTCCCCCCCCCGTCTGTACTCCAGATTTCGTAAGAAAGGGAGGGGGGTCTCATTTCGGGGGGGGGTCTCTTCCAGGCTATCTTGGAGGGCCTGGGGGTTCTGGGGACGATGTTTTGGAGGGTTCTCCCACGGGGGAGGTCTGAAATGGCTTGTCTTGGAGGGTCCAGACCCCCTTTCTTTTATTACGAAATCTGGAGTACTCTTCGGCGGCCACATGCGAACCCTACCCCACCCTCTCACGATTTTCAAGGGAGAGGGTGGGGTTCACTCCGCTCGGGAGCTCCCGAGCGAAGCGAACCCCACCCCCCGCCTCAGAATCCGTTGGGGGGGGTGGGGTAGGGTTCGCATGTGGCCGCCTATTTCTTGGCCTCCTAGATGGGGTCCGAGGGTCGCGCCGCATCGCCGATCCATCGGCGATGCGGCGCGATGTGGAGCCCGATTTCCTCCAAGCCGACGGCGCCGATGCATCGGCGATGCGGCGCGATCCTCCGACCCCACCTACCCTGATCCCATTATGCAGGCCTCTATGTACGTCCTCCGGCTCTTCGGTAAGGCCGCTTCCTTCCCAAGGCACTTGCTCGATTATGAGTAGCGTGATCGTTTGACGCTGGAATGGCCCTACTGCCACTGTTGATCGCATCTCTGCGCCGTGAATATGGCGTTATGGGCTGGTTTGTTTTATGTTGTTTGCGTTGCTCGGTAACATCAGCGGACTGGCTATTCACATGAACATGCATAATCTAGTATATTTACAGGTTACCGCCTTCACTGTCTGTGCACCGTGTGTCGACACTTGCCGCCTACAGTTTCTTCAGAATCGCCAGGGCTGCCCCAGCGGCGTCGAACGCTTGCCCGTCTCAATTGTGCATCTTCGAGCCGACTTCGCCGCTGTCGTTGCCTGCTCTGCTGACCTCGTTCTGCTCCGAAGCAAGCCATGGTAAACTATTTCTGCCACCCCCGTCTCTCAATCTATTGTGTGGGAGCCTGGAGAGGCACAGCATCTGTGGGAGTTGGCCCTGGAGAGCGCCAAGAAGGCCATCGACATCGCGCACGGCGGTTCGGACGTGAAGCAGGCTTTTCAGCTGCAGAAGCGCCTGGAGAAGAAGATCAAGGCCCGAGCGACCGGCGACAGTGTTGATACTCTCGCTGACTAGCCTATGCGCAATTCGCTTGTGGCGATCCTGCCATCTTTACCGCTAGATCGCCGTAAGCGTGGTCAAATGATGGTCAGCGGAATAGAGATACAGCGCGACAGGATCACAGGGATGCGCGGTAAGCGTGCAAGGGCCTTGGCCGCTCAAGTCGAGGCCTTTTGAGCGAAGTTGGTCAGCGATAGCGGCTGAGGATGGGCCGAATATGCATGGAAGAACGGGTGCCTCGTGCAAGCTGTTCACCTATACGATAGAGTTGTTTGCAATATCCTCAAAATCTTCCCCCCGTTGCCAATTGCGTCGGGATCGGAAAAAGGGTATGGTCAGCGTTCGGGTCGGTCGAGTCTCTTCAGGTGGTGACTGGGAGGCCCAAGCACTGACCTGACTCGTTGTGGCCTCTTGGCGCCACTTCCGCCGCTGATTTGTCAGATCAGTGCTCGGGCGGCTTCGGTGGCATTCAAGCCATTCCAATTGTGGAGCCCAGCGTTGACCTGATTGTTGTTTGTTTTTCTGTTTCACGATAGGCCTCCGGCATGGTTTGGCCGTGCCACACTGATCGGCCAGGGAGGCCCCGGTGGGAGGCGGAGCTCAGGGGACCCCCCCCCCCGGGATGCCCAGTCTGGCCGCAGCGGGGCTCTGAAAGTGGTAACGCATGGAGCAGGGCGATGAGGGAGGGTGGGAGGGAGGAGGCAGCCACGCGCAGAGTGGGGCAGGGGGAGGGGGGAAGGCTTCTTAAAAAGCACCGCTACTTCTTAGAAGGCGCGGGCTTCGTCTGTAGATGTAAGGTCGCCGCCTTCGAAGAAGCAGCCTCCTTCTAAGAAGCCTTCCCCCCCTCCTCCTACTTCCCTCTGCGCGCCGCCAAAGGAGGGAGAGAATGAGACGGCTGAGGCGGGCTACCCAGAGTTCCTGCGCTTTCTGAGCGTTGGTTGGAAGACTTGGGGGGTATCGGCGGGTTTGGCTTTCCCGAGGGCGACGCGACAAACGCCCGAAGCGCCCACCCAAGCGCGCCCAGAAAGTCTGGCGATCTGGCGATCTGGTAGTTACGATGGGGGAGGGTGGGAGGTGGGAAGAGAGGAGAGGAGGAGAAGGCAGCGGAGGAGATGGAGTTGGAGGAGGGGATGCAGCCACTGGGGCCTTCGGTGGAGCTCCATATGGAGCCACGAAGCGCTGCACTGATTGAGGGAACCGCATCCGAGTGCAGCCGCTGGGGCCTTCCGTGGGGCCCCCTTACGGGGCCACGAAACGCCGTGCTGGGTGGGGGAACCCGGGAACCGCATGCGAGTGCAGCCGCTGGGGCTTTCTGTGGAGCTCCCTCTGGGGCCACGAAGCCCTTGTGGGGAAACCGCATGCGAGTGCAGCCACTGGGGCCTTCGCTGGAGCTCCCTCTGGGGCCACGAAGCGCTGTACTGGGTGGGGAAAACGCATGCGAGTGCAGCCACTGGGGTCTTCGGTGGAGCTCCCTCTGGGGCCACGAAACGCTGTGAGTGCAGCCGCTGGGACCTTCGGTGTGGGTCCCTATGGGGCCGCGTAGGGCTGGGTGGCCAAGCACATGCAAGGTTCGCCACTGGGACATTCGGTTGAGCTCCGTATGGGGCCACGGAACGCTGCACTGGGCGGGGGAACCGCATGCGAGTTCCGCCACTAGGACCTTCGGTGTGGGTCCCTATGGTGCCACGCAACGCGATACTGTGTGGTGGAACGGCATGCGAGTTCCGCCAGTACATCTTTCGGTGAAGCTCCCTCTGGGGCCCCGAAACGCTGCTTTGGGTGGGGGAACCGCATGCGAGTGCAGCCACTGGGACCTTCGGTGGAGGGAGCTCACGAAACTTGAGAGTGTGCAGAAGGGGATGGGGGGACGCATGGATGACGATTACGGCGTGATGGAATGATCATGATGATGATGATGATGATGATGATGATGATGATGATGATGATGATGATGATGATGATGATGATGATGATGATGATGATGATCATGGTGGTGATGATGATGCTGATGATGATGATGTTGGTGGTGATGATGATGTTGATGCTCATGATGGTGATGATGATGAAGATGCTGCTGATGATGGTGGTGGTGGTGATGGTGATGGTGTTGATGTGGATGTGGATGTTGATGCTGATGATGACGATGACGATGACGATCAAGAAGGTAATGGTGATGGTGCATCTGATGATGCTGCTGCTGATGGTGATGATGGTATGGTGGTGATGATGATGATGCTGGTGATGGGTATGGTGATGGTGTTGGTGATGATGACGATGATCATGATGATGACGATGGTGGTGTTGATTATTATGTGGATGATGAGTATGATGATGATGATGTTGATGATGGAGATGATGATGATGGAGATGATGCTGATGAATATTATGACGATTCCGATGATGATACTGATGAACATTTTGTTGTTGATGCTGGTGATGATCATGATTATGATGATGATGCTGATGATAACGACGATGATGATGATGATGATGATGATGATGATGATGATGATGATGCTGATGATAATGCTGCTGATGATGATGATGATCATCATCATCATCACCATCATCACCATCATAATGGGAGGAGGGAGGAAGTGAGGAGAAAGAAGGAGGACGGAGAAGAGGACCAAACACCACAGCATGCTTGGGAATGTATACTAATAGATCCTGGGTGCACGGCGCCTCGACGGAAAGCTCAGGATTTCTAAGATTGTCTACTCTTGTCTTCGGCTGTCTGCCAGGGTCTGGCCCCAGCCCCCGGCCCCGATCCCCGGCCTGAGCTCCCGCTCCCGCCCCAGCCCCAACGGGAGGACGAGGATCACCACGCACCGTGCCACGACTCGCAACGTGCCTGCTCGCAAACGCCCGGCAAAAACAGCTGCTTTTGCTTCGGTGAGATTTGTATTGTGGATCTCCCGTGGCGGATCCAGGTCATTTGCCAGCTGTTACTCTGCGAGTGGTGGAGCGCGCTCGTCGAGAGGAGGAGCGGGAGGAGGGGTCGCGGCACCCGCCCTGGAATCTGGAGCCCAAGCCTTTAAAAACTCCGGAGCGTAAGGTGTTGAAGCTTTGGATTCCCCGGCGTTGCGGACCCCCCAGGTTCTTCCTTGGAGTTGGGGGAGGGCGTGGGGGTCGGTTGGGGGAATCTGGAGTCCAAGCCTTTAAACTCCGGAGCGTAAGGTGTTGAAGCTTGGGATTCCCCGGCGTTGCGGGCCCCCCAGGTTCTTCCTTGGAGTCGGGGGAGGGCGCGGGGGTCGGTTGGGGGAGGGGGGGTGGGGGGGGGGGAAGGGTCCTCTGGTATCTGAGCCCCGCCCCCGTAGGAGTCTGCTCCGGGGGAGGGAGGGGCCCCCAGGTTTCTGATCCCCGCCTGGAGAACATCTTCAGGCCTGCGACGGTGGATCGCTCTCCCTCAAGCACTCCCATGCTCAAGTCCCAGACCTGGAGGCGGGTCTCGAGACCTCAAAGCCGAGACGAATTGATATCCGAGGTGGAGGGGCGAGCCCTTCGGCGGTGGACAGAACCACTCTCACACGTCGATTCGTGATTCCGTTTTCGGTTCTCGAGAGGGCGCCGCGGCCGTCAGATTCCGGGTTTGCGCCCGCCAGGTTTGGGCCCGAGGTCGTTTTCACTAAATCATGTTTTATTACGTGGGGTTCTGTCCATCCCTGAGTCTTGGGGAAGGGGCTCACAGAACTTCTGAAGTTCCGCATCCGAGAAGTTAGTGGTCCCAGGATTTCTTGTCTTGCTGCAGTGCAACCTGCGGGGCGCAGCGCCCGCACTCGCAGCCTAGCGCCACACCGTAGCTGGCAGACGTTGCTTCCTCCGTAGTCCAAACTCTCTGGTGAACTTGGCATCGCTCGGACGTGTGCATTTTTCCTTCGGCGAGGACCATCGAGGAGCATGCTTGATCATTTGGCGAAAAAACACGCACGATACCAAAAAAAACACAGGGAATGGACGTCCGAGCGATGCCCAGAGCAAGCGTGCTGCGGGCGGCGGCAGCGTCGGTAGTAGCGCCAGGGCAGCCCAGCTTGTTCGCCGCTGGGGGCATGTTGGGGCCTCCTGGGCACCTCGTGGGGCTGCCTTGGGGCACCCTTGGGAGCCTCGGGGGCCATCTTGGGGCCATCTTGGGGGAGATCGATCAGAGCAGGGGCAGTAGTACATTAGGGATCCCCCTCAAGGAGACCAACGTGTGACCAAAACGTTAGTACAATGACTTTGGCTGCCTCGCCGAGGCCGTCTTGGACGCTCTAACGCCTCGCGACCCTTCCCCTCCAGACCCAAGAGGAGGGGGTAGGGGGAGGGGTATTCCCCCCCCAAGGGCAAGATGGGCCTGCTCTCCACCACCACCACCACCACCACCACCACCACCACCATAGTAAGTTGGAGGGGGGGAACGGAGGTGGAGGATGAGGATGAGGACGAAGCGGAGGAGGAGGAGGAGGAGGAGGAGGAGGAGAATGAGGAGGAGGAGGAGGAGGAGGAGGAGGAGGATGGTGGTGGCGGTGGAAAGCAAGCCCACTCGGGAAGAAGGGGGGTGGAAGAATGACCGCTCTGAATTACTCGCGCCCAGAGGGCAGGTGGGACTCTGACGATCCGGTGGAGCCCGATGCTGGCGTGGCGCCTCTGTCAGGCGATCGCAAGCATGGATCAAGGGCTCCTCCTCCTCCTCCTCCTCCTCCTCCTCCTCCTCCTCCCCCTCCTATCCCTCCTCCTCCTCTTCCTGCTCCTCCTCCTCTTCCTGCTCCTCCTCCTCCTCCTCTTCCTCCTCCTCCTCCTCCTCCTCCTCCTCCCCCTCCTCCTCCTCCGTCTCCTCCTCATCCCCCTCCTCCTCCTCCTCCTCCTCCTCCTCCTCCTCCACCTCCCCCTCGTCCATCATCGTTCCCTCCCCTCCTCCCCCTCTTCCTCCTCCTCCTCCTCCTCCTCCTCCTCCTCCTCCTCCTCCTCCTCCTCCTCCTCCTCCTCCTCCTCCGCGCGTGGATTAGCGACGAGTCCCGCTTCCAGTGGAAATCCAGGATTTCCGCCGCCGGGCGAGGTGGCACCGGCCGCATCGAGGGGATGGCATCTCCCCCGATCCATGGATCTGGCGACCGCGCGCTAAATCCATGGATCGCTGATCGATGTTTGCGCGCCCCCAAGAATGGGGCTCGATGCTTGCATGGCGCTTTGGTGCACCCCAGCGCAGCTGATCCGATTCGATCTCGATTGTGTGCCGACGCAGCCCGATCGGGCGCACATGTCGATCCGATCTGGCTTCCCTGTTCTCGATGCTGACTGGCCCTGCCTTGGGCGCCCTCAGAGCATAGAACAACTTGCAGGAGCGAGTCGTACTCCCTGGCCTCGTTCAGACGCGTGCATGCTTCTCGGCGAGGCCATCGCCAGAAAGCCTGGACCATCTACAGTCAAAAACCCTAATAAGGACGCGCGACTTTGCTCAGGGTACCCTGGCGTCCTTGCTCTTCCTTGCTCTGGCGTCCTTGGGGTTTCCGTCGTCCGCCGCCCCAAAAATCCCAACTTCGGCTTTCAATGGTCTTGCGTCCTTACCGCGCGTTCTTATTTGGTTTTTTGACTGTAATGACGACCCGACACTTGGCCCGCCTTCTCTCCAGGGAAGGGCGAACTCAGACAAAGGTGGCAGACCTTTGCCTGAGCTCGCCCGACGGGAAGGCAGGCGAATGGGCCCCTGGGGTTAGGACGGGCGTGTCCCCCTGCAGGGGGATTTTCGGCGAGGCCACCGCCAGAAAGCCTGGGCCATTCCAGCACCAGGCCGGAGCACCCTGCTCGGGGAGAGCGGGCGCCCGAGCGAGGGCAAGGCGCAAGGAGAGGTGCCCGCCACGGCGCGCAGCGGGGAGCGCCCGACGGGAAGGCAGGCGAATCGCCCCTGGGGCCATGGGGCAGGCGAGGCCATCGCCAGAAAGCCTGGGCCATTCCAGCACCAGGCCGGAGCACCCTGCACGGGGAAAGTAGGCGGAGGAGGAGGAGGAGGGAGGAGGAGGAGGCGTAGGAGGAGGAGGAGGAGGAGGAGAGGAGGAGGAGGAGGAGGAGGGGAGGGAGGGGGGGGCGGGGGGGGCCCACGGGCACTGCGCCATCGCCAGAAAGCTTAGGCCATTCCAGCACCAGGCCGGAGCATCCTGCACGGGGAGAGCGGGCGTCCGAGCGAGGGCAAGGCGCAGAGGGGGCCTTTTTCGGCGGCCTGCGCCCACGAGCCCCGCCGGGCGCCGCGCCCCCCTAGCCTTCAGTCGGGCCTGTCCCCCTACAGGGGGATTTTCGACGAAACATACAAAAGGCCCCAAACATGCCCCAAAAGGGTCAAAACATACCCCCAACATAGTCCCCAGACTATGTTTGGGGTACCTCTTATTTGTCGTCGAAAATCCCCCCTGTAGGGGGACAGGCCCGACTTAAGGTTAGGACGGGGGTGTCCAAGCACACCGATCCCAAAAATACCCCAAAAAGGTTAAACAAAATTCAAAACATAGTCCCCAGACTAGTTTTTGATAATTGTTTGCTCATTTTTGGGGTACGTTTTATTTTTCGTCGAAAATCCCCCTGTAGGGGGACAGGCCCGACTTAACCCTAGCCCCCGTCTCGTCCTGTCCCCGCACGCCGCTACATACGGGGGGGTACTCTCGTCGCTCGTGGCGTGTTCCCAGGCCCCGGACCACAGCTCCGGGTCGGTTTTGGGAGGTCGCCGCGGCGATCGCGGCGGCCACGAGTCGGGGCAAGGTTCTCTGTCAAGGAGTGGCATGCCCCTTCGCAGCCCCTCCCCCCCGCTCTGCGATGTAGACGTGGCACACGATTGGCCATCTGGCGACGGAGCGTGGTCATATCCAGCCTGGGCAGTCCTGTTTGTTTGGCGAGTGGCCGATGGTCATGCAGCCAGTGGCGGATGTGCGAATCTTGCCATGCTGAGCCCCTAGAACGGAGCTCATGATAGTGGCCCTGAGATCCTGAAGTCCATGATGGTAGCCCTGAAATGCTGAAATCCAGATCGAGGCCATGATGGTACGGTAGGTTCGTGTCGTGTCGACCAGCGGCGACCCCGCCGCCGGAGTTCAACGTTGAACGCCGACGGCGACCCAGAATCGATCGATGTTCAACGATGTGGCGTTTCGGAAACGGCCGATCGTTCAAGGTTGAACGATTCCCGCGGTGTCAAAAACCATCGCCTGGGTCGACACGACGAAAACCTACGGTAGGCCCCAAAAGGCGCCCTGGAATCCTGCCGTCTCCCTTTTTCAGAGCAGCGCGCGCGTTCGCCCCGTCTCGGGCCCCGGGAGAAGGCACAGATCGAACTGGCTGGAATCCGGAGGGAAATAAACACACACACACACAGACACAATGAATCGTCCACTGCCAGGAAAATATGGGAATACATGGGAAGTGGGGGGAAAGATAAAAACCCAGAAAATATGGGGGATCTGTTTATTTGTGTGTATTTATTAATCGCTTCGCTCATTCCGCCGGCCCTGGAGCGCTATTTCGGGCCTCTTGGGGCCGTCTTGGGGGCTTCTTGGGGGCTTCTTGGGAGCGTCTTGGGGCTCCTCGGCGGCGTATTGGGCTCCCCTGGGGCCTCTTGCGGGGCTCTTGGGGGCGTTATGAGGTCTCCTGGGGACGTCTTGCGGCTTAGAGCGCGAAATGTCCGTTCCGGTACCCCGTCGGGGCCCAGTCTTGGAGCCGTCTTGGGGGCATTTTGGGCCATCTTGGAGGTTTCTGGGGGTTTCTTAGGGCCCTCTGGGGTCGTTTCTGAACCCTCGTAGGCCGTATTGGGGCGACATTGAGGGCTTTTTGGGCCGTCTTAAAGCGCTAGTAGTAAGCCGAAGAGGCGAGAACGCCCAAATCCTAAAAAAAGCAATGAAAATTATCAATTTTGGCTTGGTGGGGGCCTCTTGGGAGGTCTCTTGGACGCATCTTGGGGCGTCTTGGGAGCATCTTGGGCCGTCTTGAGGCCTCTTGGGGGCGTTATGAGGTCTCCTGGGGACGTCTTGCGGCTTAGAGCGCGAAATGTCCGTTCCGGTCCCCCGTCGGGGCCCGGTCTTGGAGCCGTCTTGGGGGCATCTTGGGCCATCTTGGAGGTTTCTGGGGGTCTCTTAGGGCCCTCTGGGGTCGTTTCGGAACGGTCTTGAACCCTCGTAGGCCGTATTGGGGCGACATTGAGGGCTTTTGGGCCGTCTTGAAGCGCTAGTAAGCCGAAGAGGCGAGAACGCCAAAATCATGAAAAAAAATGAAAATCATACAATTTTGGCTTGTTGGGGGCCTCTTGGGAGGTCTCTTGGACGCATCTTGGGGCGTCTTGGGAGCATCTTGGGCCGTCTTGAGGCCTCTTGGGGGCGTTATGAGGTCTCCTGGGGACGTCTTGCGGCTTAGAGCGCGAAATGTCCGTTCCGGTACCCCGTCGGGGCCCGGTCTTGGAGCCGTCTTGGGGGCATTTTGGGCCATCTTGGAGGTTTCTGGGGGTCTCTTAGGGCCCTCTGGGGTCGTTTCGGAACGGTCTTGAACCCTCGTAGGCCGTATGGGGGCGATATTGAGGGCTTTTTGGGCCGTCTTAAAGCGCTAGTAAGCCGAAGAGGCAAGAACGCCAAAATCAGGAAAAAACGCAGTGAAAATCATACATTTTGGCTTCTTGGGGGCCTCTTGGGAGGTCTCTTGGACGCATCTTGGGGCGTCTTGGGAGCATCTTGGGCCGTCTTGAGGCCGTCTGGGCTGCTTGGGGCGCTCTTGGCTTCAGGCTGCTGGGCCTGCAACATATTTGGCGTCTCCTTGGAGCGCTCCTGGAGCGCTCCAGAGGCCTCCAGGGCCGCGCCCAGGAAGTCCGGCATCTCTGACCCCCACCCTCCCGGGGACCTGCCGGGGTACTTTTCGCCCGGGGACTCCTACGGGCCGCCCCGCGCGCGCGAATTAGAAATACTGTTTACCTGTTACCGGAGATCTTAGCACGCCCTGGCCCGTTGGGCCGGCGAATTTGTGTGCCCTGGGGCCCCTTCATAGAAGAATGCAGCAAAAAGATGGGGTCCAGGGCCCCGGTCGTGACTTTTAGCCATGTTTCAGTTCTGTCGCGGCGTCGGATCTAGGGGGGCCAGAAACAGGAGGGAGGAGAGAGCAGCCTTTCCCGTGCCGGCCCATGGGATGTCCCGTGACCCACCAGGAGATCCAGCTCCAGGAGCAGAAGAAGAGAGAGGACGAGCGCACGGCAAAGGACCTGCATGCATGGGGGAGTCCGGCGGGCTCAGGCTACTGTGTGAGGGCGAAATTTGGCCCCTTGGCTCTGGAGAGCGGGATGGCGTGTCACCCACAGTTGCAGGCTTTGGGAGCTCCACAGATTGACGGCATTCCAACAAGCGATGAGGATCAAACGTCAAGCGTACGGTCAGGCCAGGAAGGGCCTGTCCATCCATGCCGAATTCAAGGGTGGGGAGGGGAGCGGTGCCAGGTTGGGGTGGCGGGTGAGGGCAGGCAATCTCGCACGCATGGCGATTTTAACACAGGTCGGCGGAGTTCAGCCACTCATTTGCTCGATGCTGGCTCTTCTTCCCCTTCTCGTCACTCTCCCCTGTCCTCCTCTGATCTTGTGGTTGACATGTTTCATTTTTCGGCGGATCATCCTTCCTCGCCCCACCTCCATCCTTTCATCTTCTCCCTCGTTTCGTGTCTTTCCTTCCCTTCTCTCCTGTGCGAGAAGTTGTCTGGCGGGGCCCACCAGTTCGAGCCACTGTCTGCGAGCGCGCGGGCGAAGGCACCGACAGACACGTCTGGGACGTGCTCACTCGCGGGCATACTGGACGTCTGCAGGCCCACACCTTGGCCTCGCTCGGACGTGTGCATTTTTCCTTCGGCGAGGATCATCGAGGAGCATCCTTGACCATTTGGCGAAAAAAACACGCACGAAACCGAAAAAAACACAGGGAATAGATGTCCGAGCGATGGCCAGACATCGAACCCTCTTTCCAGTGTCCTCTCGTCTGCCCTCCCGGGGCGGACGTGGAGAAAAAACGGGGGTGCACCGAACACCCGCCTTGGCACGTCGAGTAGCGAATGGTCCGTCTTTGGTTCTCGAGAGGTTCCATGCTCAATTCCCAAACCTGGAGGCGGGTCTCCAACAAAGTCGAGACAAACTGATATCCGAGATGGAGGGGAGAGCCCTTCGGTGGTGGACAGAACCCCCACTCTCACAGGTCGATTAGTAATTCCGTTTTCGGTTCTCGAGAGGGCGCCGCGGCCGTCCTCTTCCAGGCTTGCGCCCGCCAGGTTTGGGCCCGAGGGCGCTTCCACTAAGCCACGTTTTGCGAGAGGGAGTTGTTCCATCCCCGAGAGAAGGGAACCTTGCATGAATGGTTACCACATGGTGACGAGCGGCTGGACGAGGTCCAGAGAACGCAGTGGCGGTCGGATGGATTGACGGCAGTGATCCGGTCAGTTCAAAGTGAGAGATGACGGCAAGTCTCATGCGCAGACATTCCGACCATTTCTTGTGGCGGTCGGATGGATTGACGGCAGTGGTCCGGTCAGCTCAAAGTGAGAGATGACGGCAAGTCTCATGCGCAGACATTCCGACCATGTCTTGCGCACCTGCCCCTCCTCGACCCCTTGTCTCCACTGCTGGTTCACCAGCCTGTTGCCTCAGCCCCTCGCGAAGGATGGAGATGAAGGAGGGAAGGGGAGGGACGGGTCGGGCGGGCTCCGCACTGGGGTAAGTCTGTTCGGAGCAGTCCAGACCGTTCTCAGAGCGCTCCGGAGCGCCCTGGAACGGCCGCTGCGCCCGATCTCCGGAGCCGCCAGATCTCCGAGATTCTCGATTCATCATGTTTCACCTCAACCTGGGCGCTTCGGCCAGTCCCTGCGGCACCCTCGCGGTGCATTCTCGCAGGTCGCAGTTCGCAGTTCGCAGTTCTCGATTCATCATCACCCGAGTCTGTTCTCGTCCCGGCCTCGTCTCATGGGGGCGGGAGGATGCTCCTCCCTCCCCCCCCCTCTGCCTGGCATCGCTCGGACGTGTGCATTCTTCTCTCGGCGAGAACCATCGAGGACCATCCTGGACCATCGAGCCAAAAAAACACGCGCGAAACCGAAAAATGCACGGCAAATGGACGTCCGAGCGATGGCAAGTCTGAGACGAAGCCAGGACAAGGACAAGTCACCCCCAGGGGTAAGTCGGGCATGTCCCTCTACAGGAGGGATATCCCAAAGTAGTCAGAACATAGTCAGGGGACGATGTTTCTTTGATTTTGGATTATGTTTGGTGTCTTTTTGAATAGCTTTTACTTGTCCTCCAAAATCTGCCTGTAGATCCAGACCAGATGCGAACTTATGTGGAAACCTGGGAGATGTGTCTATTGCCTCGGTACTCTCGGTGCTGGGATGTTGCTTCAGAAATATGGGGGATCCTGGGATATGGCCCCGGTGTTCTCGGCGTTGCGACGTGTCCGTGTACTGCCTCGGTGTTGTGGGATCGGTGTGCTTGGACACGCCCGTCCTAACCTTACGTCGGGCCTGTCCCCCTACAGGGGGGATTTTCGACGACGAATGAAAGATACCCCACATAGTCTGGGGACGATTTTTGGAGGTATGTTTTGATCTTTTTGGGGCATGTTTGGGGTCCTTTGTATTCTTCGTCGACAATCCCCCTGTAGGGGGACAGGCCCGACCTGAGGCTAGGGGGGCGCGGCGCCCGGCGGGGCTCGCGGGCGCAGGGCCGCCCGCGGCCCCCTCTGAGCCTTGCCATCGCTCGGGCGCCCGCTCTCCCCGAGCAGGGTGCTCCGGCCTGGTGCTGGAATGGCCCAGGCTTTCTGGCGATGGCCTCGCCGAAAATCCCCCTGTAGGGGGACACGCCCGTCCTAGCCCCACGGGCCCATTCGCCTGCCTTCCCGTCGGGCGAGCTCAGACAAAGGTCTGCCACCTTTGTCTGAGTTCGCCCTTCCCTGGAGAGAAGGCGGGCCAAGTGTCGGGTCGGCTTTCTGGCGATGGCCTCGCCGAGAAGCATGCATTGTTTTATTTTTCGTCGAAAATCCCCCTGTAGGGGCACACGCCCGTCCTTACCCCAGGGGCCCATTCGCCTGCCTTCCCGTCGGGCGCTCCCCGCTGCGCGCCGTGGCGGGTACCTCTCCTGCGCGGGAGCTGGGGCCCGAGGCGCGCAGTGCCCGTGGGCTCCCCCCCCTCGCCCTCCCCCTTCCTCCTCCTCCTCCTCCTCCTCCTCCTCCCCTCCTCCTCCTCCTCCTCCTCTTCCCCCTCCTCCTCCTCCCCCTGTCCTCCCCCTCCTCCTCCTCCTCCTCCTCCTCCTCCTCCTCGGGGGAGCGAGACCTCCCCTCTTGGGACGAATGGGGACCTCTGGGCTCGTGTGAAGCGGAGCATTGCCTCCAGGGGGCCCCAGAGAGCTGCTGAAATCTCCGCTGCGTGGATCCCGTCCCACTTAGATGAGCAGGCCCACCTGTTAGTCTCGCCTAGTGTGGTCTTCCGTGCTGCTGGGAACGCCTGTGCCGATGCTCTGGCGGGTGTCGCCGCCCAGGAGGCCCTCTCTCGGGGCCTCATTGGCGTTGCCCCGCACACAGATGCATGGGATGCCATCGCTGCGCAGGTTAGGACTCGTGCTAGGAGGGCCCTGATTGACACACTTGAAGTTGACGCTTGGGAGGCTAAGAGACCTCCGAAGATTCGCGCCGCTCCTCAGCCAAAGCTCACCCGAGCCTTGGCGGCCAGCCAGCACGCTTGGACCTCCGTCCAAGGCGGTTGCTGGTTGTGCTCGGCTTGCCGTCTTCTGGTTCCTGGGTCCAGGGTCGAGGAAGCGGCCGAGTCTTCGTGCACCCCTGCCCCTGCGCCCAGAGTTGGCGGGGGTGTGGGGTTCCCGAGCAGTATCGTGAAGAGTAATTCGTACGTGATCCTTGGGAACCAAGAGGTCCACCAGTCACATGAGCTGTACTTGTGGCAGGAGCACATGCTGTATTTTTGTAATGTGTGCGGCTCGACGGCCACCACTAGGCTTGCTGGGCTGGTCGAGCTGTGCCACATCCCCACCAAGAGGGGGCGTCAGAATCTCACGCGAATCAAGCAGGGCAAACTCCCGAGCTATGCGGGCTTGCCCAAGGGGGCCAAGGATGCCTCCCTGATTTTGCAGTCAGGAGTTGGAGCGGCTCCTCTCGAGGGCTCCAACGAGGGACCTCCAGAGTGCTCTGCTGCTAAGGGCTCCATCGAGGGACCTCCTGAGAGCCCGTAGGGTGGTTGGTGGGACACTGCGTCCCCTTTGTATCTCATATCTCATATCCTCCTCCTCCGCCTCCTCCTCCTCCTCCTCCTCTTCCTCCTCCTCAACATCCTCCTCCTCCTCCTCCTCCGCCTCCTCCTCCTCCTCCTCGTCCTCCTCCGCCTCCTCCGCCTCCTCCTCCGCCTCCTCCGCCTACTCCTCCGCCTCCTCCTTCACCTCCTCCGCCTCCTCCGCCTCCTGCTCCTCCTCCTCCTCCTCCCTCCTCCTCCTCCTCCTCCTCCTCCTCCTCCTCCTCCTCTTCCTATCTCTCCTCCTCCCCCTCTTGCCCGTGGCGGGCCAGGAGGCGGAGGAGCTGAAGAAGAAACAGGCCGAGGAGCAGAGTTCGAGGAAGGATTCGAAGGACCCTCGCGAGGGGCGGTGCAGTGGAGGCGCTGAAGCAAGGACCACTTTTGGCTCGGGAGGGGCTCGCGTTGTTGGGCCGCTCCTTGGATCCAGGTGTAAGTCGGGTGTGTCCCTCTACAGGAGGAATATTCGAAGATCGTAGAGAAATATGTTTGAGCATGTTTGATCTTTTTTGACTGTGTTTTATATTGGACTGGCCTCCGGCCAGTGCCGCCGATCCAGGGGGGCTCCGGAAGTAGAGTTTTCTATACCCCCTGTCCCCGGGTACCGAAAAACGTCGGAAATGGCGTCGGAAATATCCCCGGGTACCGAAAAACGTCGGAAATGACGTCGGAAATAACGTGCCCCCCCCCCCCTGCAGAGCGAAGCTTGAGCGAGCTCAAGTCCACGCTCTCGGAAACTCGCACGCCGGATCGGCGGATTTCGTACACAATCCGCCTGCAGGGGGGCATGCCCGGCCTGAATCTCGGTCGGGGCCCCGAGTCGTGGCCGAGGCCCGTTCTGGCCGGAAGAAGGCCCCGTCGTTCCTGATGCGGCGCTCCTTGCAGCGCCACCGCTGCACGTGAAGGGGAGGCTCGCCCATGCAGTTGCAGATCCCAGGAGTTCTGTTTTCGGGATCGGGTGCCAGGGCTGGAATGTGTGTAACCTTGCCAGAAGAAAGCCCCGTCGTTCCCGATGCAGCGCTCCCTGCAGCGCCACGGCTGCAAGGGAAGGGGAGGGTCGCCCGTGCAGTTGCAGATCCCAGGAGTTCTGTATTCCTGCCATCGCTCGGACGTTTGCACTTTTTCTCGGCGAGAACCATTGAAGACGATCCTGGACCATCGAGCAACAAGAACACGCACGAAGCCGACAAATGCACGGGCAATGGACGTCCGAGCGATGGCGAGTTTTCGGATGGAGTGCCAGGACTGGAGTGTGTGTAGCTTTTTTCCTAGGGTGGAAGCCCCAGGGCCCGCGAGCGCAGAGAGAAGCCGCTCTGGGGGAGGCGGCGCCGGAGACCTGTCGAGCCGGCTGCCCTCCATCGAGCACTGTCTGGGGCGTCGATGCCCTGGGGGCGCTCTGCAGACCGTGCGGGGCCCGCGGCGCGCGACCCCTGCGGTGCAGCCTGCGAGATGCGGCCTGCGGGCTGCAGCTCAAACAATTTTTGGTTCGCGCGTCGAGAGCGCACCTCTTCCGGTCGAATTAACCAGAGATGGGGGAGGAAAACGGGGGGCGCAGCCTCTGCACGAGGCCGGCTGCAGTTCAAACAAGTAGACGCCGGTCGCTGAAAGCGGGCATGTCTGGATTCCCAGGGTCCCAGACCCAAATCTGCTTCAAGCGCCTTCCTGCTGCAAGAGTCGATATGCTTCTGCTGTGGTTTTGTTGCTCTCTGGGAGGACCTGAACACAGTCTACTTATAATTCGCCTTCCTACTTCATGTGTTCACGTACTTCCTCCGGCCGACGTTTTGATCCCGCCGTTTCGGATACCCGGCGTAAGAGAACAACAACTTGCGATGTACCACGGCACCCAGTCCGCGCCGCACGGGCGACGCGGGTCGGAACTGAACAGGATAATCGGCAGGGCGAAGCAATATTCTGAGCCATTGAGATCGGCGTGGTCGCATTCATCATTGATCAGTTCTTAACGCGGACAGCGTCGGCACCCCTGCCGTCCTGCTGACGCCTTCGCCCAGAAGGCGGGTGCAGCGCCGGCTTGTGTGTCGGTTGCCCGCGCAGGTGCTTTGCTTGTATGATGTAGAATCTTATCTTGTTTGCGCACCGTCTGGTGAAAGGCGGCCTGAGTGACTGACCCCCTCGTCCTCCTCCTCCTCCTCCTCCTCCTCCTCCTCCTCTTCCTCCCCCCGTAGCCCTTGAACCCCCCCTCACAAAACCGTCGCTTCGCTCATTCCGCTGGCCCATCCTGCATCACTGTTGCTTTGTCGGTGTGCTCGTGGCGAGCGGGAAGCAGCAGGAGGAGGAAGAGGAGGCCTCTCGATGGCTTCTTGTGACATTCTTGGGGCCGAAGTGGGTCGTGGACAGGACGCCTCTTTGGGAGGCATCTCGTGGTCTCTTGGGAGGCCCTTTGGCGGCCTCATGGCGGCATGTGGGGTCCTCCCTCAGATTTTGTTGGCGGCCTCATGGCGGCATGTGGGGTCCTTCCTCAGTTTTTTGGGGGCCTCTTGGGTGAGTATTTTGAGTCTCTGGGGGCCTCTTGGGGACCTGCTGGCGGTCTCGGGGGCCATCTGTTGGGAACGTGTTCGGTTTACGGGGCGCAGTATGCGGGCGGGAACTTTGGCTTAGCAAGTCGCACCGCGGGTTCTGGCCCACCACGCTTCGGCGCGACATGCTGTCCACATCCCGTTTCCCGAGCGTCCACGTCGCGAGCTATCCACTCACAAGGCATAGCGTGTCGCCAGGGCCGCCTCCGCGACGCGCTCAGCAAAAGTTCCCGACCGTACTGTCATGACCCTACGACCAGGGAGCATGATCGGCGGGGGGGAGCGATCGGCCGTCCTAGGAATGGCCAGGGTTTTTTTGTTATACGGGGCCCCGCAGACATGTACTCGCTCAGGGCCCCACGACCTTGAGCGAGGTCCCGTCCTGCCTGCCGCCGTCTCACGTATGGCCAGGACCTTTGTGTATGGGGTCCCACGAACGGGAACTCGCTCAGGATCTCACGACCCTGAGCGAGTTCCCGTCTTCCCCGCCGCCATCCTGCGATCAGGAGGGGAAAACACACACAGTCACAATACTCTTCAGCTCCCTGGAAAACATGGGAAGTGTGGGGGGGGGGGGGGACGACGAACACCCCAACACATGCTGGAACACGTCGGGAATCCTGGGGCGGCTCGCCAGGACCTGTTTGCACGAATGGCCAGGACCTGGGCGCATGGGGGACCCCCCGCGCGGGGCCCTCTTGCCCGGGAGGCGTGCGGCCCGGGCCAGGAGAGGCCGGGCCGGGGACCCCACGGGCGGGGGCGGGGCGCGAGGGGAGGAGGGGGGAGGGGAGGGAGGAGGGAGGGAGGAGGGAGGGAGGAGGGAGGAGAGGGAGGAAGGAGGAGAGGAGGAGGAGGAGGAGGAGGAGGAGGAGGAGGGGAGGAGGAGCTCGGAGGTCTCGCAGGGGGCGCGGAGGCTCGGGCGGCCCGCCGCTCCGGGAGCGTTCTCGGGGGGGCGAATGCCCGCACATGGCCAGGAGGCCACCTGCGAACCCTGCCCCACCTCTCCCCTGATGATGATGATGATGATGATGATGAGGAGGAGGAGGAGGAGGAGGAGGAGGAGGAGGAGGAGGAGCAGCAGGAGGAGGAGGAGGAGGAGGAGGAGGAGGAGGCAGAGGAGGAGGAGGCGGAGGAGGAGGAGGAGGAGGAGGAGAAGAAGTCGTGGGGCGGTGGCAGCGGCGATGGGGCAGGTTTCGCACGTGGCCTCCTATGGCTTCCAGCACGCGGCACTCCATCTTCCGACCTTCCCCTTTTGCCACAGCATGCTCGCCCCCAGGAGGGGAGGGGGGGAGACCAGTGGGGGCTCTCCAGCAAAGGCCTCGCATTCGAGGGTCCAATATGCTGCCTTCCTTTCATCGGCGGAAGGTGGCAGAAGTAAGACGGGGGCGGTTCCGCCGGCGGAAGTTGGCGGAAGTAGAAAGCACGCCCCCAAGATATGGCAATTTTGTTGGGCGCCCACCATGACCCACCGCCAGGATCCGATGACCCGCGCCAGAGTAGTAGGCGCGTCCGCGCCCAGCGCGACTTCGCGCGCCACCGCCAGGATTCATGGGCGCCCGCCGCCAAGAGTGGGCGGCTCCGGTGAGCTGATGTAGAGGTTACGTAAGAATCCCGTTGGTGCAAGCATTGTTTGACCATTTGGGCATGCGGGCGCAATCTTGGATCTCCATGTGGCGCCAGTTAGGACCCTTCAGGTATTGAGCGGCATGACTCATCCATGTCCTCAGCGGCGCCGCTGATTGCGCACTCTCTGCGCCCATCTTATCGCTGTGCGGCACGGGCTCGTCGGCGGCGCATCGCTTCCGGCTCAGGTGATCCCTCGAGGGTTGCAATGGTTTTTCCAGTTGGAGTTCTTGCCACCGATGAGCATTCTGGCGGAGGCACGGTCTCCGTAGGTGGTTCACGGCGTGTCGATTCTCGAGGAGGGCGCCATGGAGTTTGCAGTTTGTGGACGAGGGGCGGAGGGGGAAGTCCAGTGGCGCGAGGGGCGTCGCCGCGGCAGAACGACAGGTCGAAGGTCCATGCTGCGTTGTCCGTGCTGCCCCAGGCCTCCCCTGCTGCCGCCTGCTTGGCATCGCTCGGACATGTGCATGTTTTTCTCGTCGAGGGTCATCGAGGAGCATCCTAGATCATCTGGCCATAGAAGTACGCACTAGACCAACACGTGCACGGGGAGTGGACGTCCGAGCGATGTCAGGCCTGCTGCTCAAGCGCTCTGCCGGTGAGACATGGCCTGCGCCTCAGAGGCGCTGGCCTTGCGCTCGATCAGTCCACCGGGTTCGTGGTGGGTCTCTCGACCACTCCACGCTCGGGAGGGAGCGAGGGGGGGAGGGAGGGGGGGAGGGAGGGAGGGAGGGAGGGAGGGAGGACTCTCTGGGTGCTGGCACTCGACCTCAGCCCGTCCCCGCGGGCAGGAGGAGGCGGCCGCGGTGGGAGGGGGAAGACCCCGGCAGGCAGGCTGCAGGGACCCATCGGGGCGGGAAGCACGAGGCAGGGTTGGCGAAGAGCGCAGGAGGCCCTCTCAGACTAGCCACAACTGGGGGGGGCGGGGGGGCTGTGGTCCTTGCCCCCCTGGGGGGACCCATCGGTTTCGAGACCCATCTCGAGAGATCGTCGACATGTTGGGTTGCCCCCAGGGGGGTAAGGAACAAAGCTCCCTCGGTTGCGGCCGTTCGGTCTACCCTGCCCCCGGTTGATTGCTGCCTCACCGGTTGATTTGTGCCTCACCGTTCAGCATCGTCTACAGCCGGACCGAAGTATAATATCGAGGGCGGTTCGGGGTACCCTAATAATGTTCTTCGTGTTCGTGGGATGGTCTTGTGCATCCTAGGGAGGGTGTCCTTGGATGTTCTGCGTGTTTTGGCCGGCGGAGGGGCCCATGTTCTTGGAAGAGGTGTTTCTGTGGCAGATCCGTTTGTGGCTGGTCGCCATCCACACTGAGCCACGTGGTATCGCAGCCCAGGCGCCGCTGCCCTTCCCCCGATTTGTTTTCCTCCAGGGAGGCCCTCGTCGCCGCGGCCGGATTCGCCCCGACACTCTGGTCAGAAAGGAGCCCCAGGAGAGGTCTGAGATCCTGGCGTCTGAACTTGTTCGAGCTGGGCGTTCTCGTTGTTTCTCGGGCCCCGGGTCCCTCACATGTCGATCCCGGTCGACACATGACGCAGACAGATGGGGTCTCGGGTTCTGGGGTCGATGTTTCACGGCGTCTCATGTTTTTTGAGGCGGCGGATGTGAGGCGAGTCGCGGTTTCGGCCCAGGAGTTTGTCCCCGGAAGGGAGAGGTGGGCGGAGGGGGCAGGGCGGGGGGGAGGAGGCGGGGCAGAAGGGGGAGAGGAGGAGAAGGAGAAAGGAGGAGAGTAGTGGAGCGTGGGGGCCAGGCCCCCGACCGACGTCATGATTGGTTCGCGACGCGGATCCGCGACCCCTTTGGACCAGCATTTCAGCCCGCGCCGTCCCTTGACCGTCCTGGGGCCCTGCAGCGACGGCCCCCACAGAGGCCGAAGGCAGGAAGAGAAGCCCTCCGCGGCTGCTTGTCCATGACCAGGGCGGGTCTGGGGGGGGGGCGGCGGGAGGAGGGCAGGGGGCCCCTGAGAGCCTGGCGTCTTCCTGTGCGGTTTCGTTTTTTCTCGGGCCTCGGGACGCTCACACATTGACCCGCCTCGAAACATGACGCCGAAGGATGGGGTCCAGGGTTTCGGGCGCGATTTTCCGGGGCGCCTCCATGTTTTGGGAGACGTCGGATCTCAGGGGCGGCAGGACCGAGGGGAGGGGAGGGAGGGGGGGCGGCAGGGGAGGGGTGGGGGGGGGGTGGAGGGGGGGGCAAGGGGCGGGAGGGGAGGGCAAGGGGGGCAAGGGGCGGGAGGGGGAGGGCAAGGGGCGGGAGGGGAGGGGAGAGGGCAAGGGGGGGGGGGGGGGGAGGGCGGGGCGGAGGGGGGGGTGGGAGGGAGGGGGGGCGGGAGGGGGGCTTCAGGGGCGGCAGGGCCGAGGGGGTGAGCGGCGGAGGGGAGGGCTGCAGATCCCGCGGGCCGGGGCCCGCGCGCCCCGCCCCGAGGACGGCGCCAAGGGCACCCCGGGCCCCGCGGCGGCGAAGGCGAAGGCCAGGCCGGGCACGTCGAAGTCTGCGGGCGCGAAGGCCAAGGCCACGGCCCCGGCCCCCCCCCCTGCGTCCTCCTCCTCCTCTTCGCTCCTCCTCCTCCTCCTCCTCCTCCTCCTCCTCCTCGTCCTCCTCTCCCACCTCCTCCTCCCGCCTCCGCCTCCTCCTCCTCATCCTCCTCCTCCTCCTCCTCCTCCTCCTCCTCCTCCTCCTCCTCCTCCTCCCCCCTGTGCGCGCGCCGTTTCCGGAGCCCGGGGCCCCCGCGCGACGTGGACACCCCTGAGATCCTGGCGCCTCAGTGTTTTCGAGTCGAGGCGTTTTCGCTTTCTTTGGCCAGCTGCGGCCCCGGGCCCCCCCTGGAGCCCAGGCCCCTCTCGCGACGTGAGCAAAGTCACGTCGGCAGGTTTTGTTGGCCATCTGCGGCCTCGGGGGCCCTCGCCGGGCCCCCCTGACCTTCGAACAAGGTCTTGGGATAGTGATCGTTTTTTTATTCGTTGTTTGCCGATCTGCGAGGGCCCTCGCACCCCTCCCCCTCTCCCCTCATTGGGCAGATCTTGGCTGTTTTGGGCGCCTGTGTTTCCAAGCAGGTGGAGTCTTTCCCATAGGCCGCACTGCTGCAAACAGTCGCGCTAAGCCGAGATCCAGAGCCAGACCCCCCCCCCTTCCCCCCCTGTTCCGCCCAGTGTCGAAACGCCGAATAAGACAACGTTCACATACAGAGCTTGGTCCCGGGGGAATGGGTCCAGACCTTCAGGGGTCCACGCTGTGTGTGCAGAAAGCACGACGTCGCGGATCTGGGAGGCACGGCTGCTGCTGCTGTTGATGTTGGCAGGGTCACGTTTCGATCGCCTTACACACGCGATCAAATTTGTACACGTACAGTTGCATACCATTTCTTATGGGATGTCTAGCGCGCGCCGTATCAGACTCAGGCTACACAGTGCTGCTCGGTAGTTTCAGCCAGGCAGACCAGGAGAGCATCGCAGCCAGGTTGAAAGGTAACAGCCGAATCCATAGGCACGGGTGCGGCTCATAGTTTCATTTTGCAACTAAGGTCGCACGCGCAAAAGGCCAGGCAGGCAACATGTGCGTGGAGCTGGTCGATTCACGTCTGCAGACCGCTTTGGGGGACGACTCGGGGCAGGAGGGAAAGCCCAGTGAGAGTGCAGGCCGCATCGGAGTGTTGCCTTTTGTATTGTCTTGCGGAAACGTTCCAGGTCAGCCTCGATCAACGAGTCCCCCCTCGAAGGGTAACTCGAGAGAAAAACCATATGTCTTGGCTCCCTTCACTCGTCACGCGATCACAGTTACCGCGTGTCATGCCCAAGCGACACGCGGATCATGAATACGGCCAAATCAGTTGGAGGCTCACTCGGAGCTCATGTCCCATGAGCAGCTGCATTGGGATCGATGCCCCGAGCAACCGGATAATGCTCAGTCAGTTATGAGAAGAGCCGTTGGGGCATGAACGCATTTGGCACTTCCAGCACGCTCCCTGCCGCACGCCGCGGTGTTGTCGAACCACGGACTCGAATCGACCTCGTGTCGGTCATCGCTGGCCGTCAGATCAGTTGCGGTAGCCCGCACAGCACAACAAGTCGCGGTCCTCCCCCTCTTCCTCCGATTCCGACTCCGACTTCGATTCCCACAATCGTCTTCTTTTAAGACCGCAGCCCCACACGGCCCTGGAGTGGCGCCAGCGGAGAGCGATGATGGATGGGCCAATCGGCTGGGCGGTCGGGGGCTGCCGACGTGGCCGTAGATTTAGGGCCACCACGAGGGTGCGAAGGTACTCCCGCGTCGCGGTCTGGGCGATTTCAGAGTGATGCGCAGAGTTATTCGCGTTTCGCGGCCTGAAGGATGCTTCACCAGTTCGGAGCGAGGGATTGGATGGCGGGCTACGAGGTGCTGGCGACGTCAGAGCGATGGCGTGGAGCGCGGGAGATTTGAGCGGGTTGCAGGGCTTGGAAGCGAGGCATTTGAAAGGGCTGTCGGGCCTAGAAGCAAGAGATTTGAACGAGCAGGGGGGCCTGGAGACCAGGAATTTGAGAGGGCAGTCGGGCCTGGACGCAGGGAACTTGAATTGGCGGCGCGGCCTGGAAGCAGGGGATTTGAATGGGCAGCCTGGCCTGGGAGCCAGGGTTTTCCGGCTCGGCTCCCCAATCAAACTCCTTCATTCCAGGCCCCGCCGCCCGTCAGAATCTATGGCTGCCGGGCCAGATTGCCCACTCAAATCCCTTAGTTCCAGGCCCCACCGCCTCTTCGAATCCCTGGTCTCGAGGCCAGGCTGCATATTCAAATCGCTTGCTTCCAGGCCCCGCCGCCCGTTAGGTTCCCTGCTCCCGGGCCCGCTCCTCGACTCGAGCTCTTTTCTCATGGGCCTCGCCGCCCGTTCGAATCCCTGGCTCCCAGCAGGCCCCGCCGCCCGTTGGACCCCCCCCCGCTTCCGGGCCCGATGTTCTAGTCAAACTTCTCTGCCCCCTGTTCAAACTCCTGGCTTCCATGCCAGACTGCTCGTTCGGAGCCCATGCGTCCCGGCCCCGCCGCGCGATTCAATCTCTTTCGGGGGCGGAAAAGAAGGGGGTGATGATTAGGGAGGGTGGATATCATGGCGTGGGCCATGATATTTTCCCACATTTCATGGCGCCTCTTCTTATTCCATTGCGTCCCTGCCCCCCCGCTGGGCCGCGCACATGCCGCCGGTCATGATTTGCACCCCCCCCTCTTGGACACCCCCCTCTTGCCGCTCCCGACTCTTGCTTCCAGGCCCGACAATCAAGTCATATTCTTGAATTTCAGGCGCCGCAGCCCTTTCGACTCCCCGGCTCCCAGGCCCGAGTGCCCATTCAAACCTTTCGTTTCCAGGCTTCGCCGCCCGTTCCAATCCCCCGCTTCCAGGCCCGGCTCTCCAATCGAATTTCTCAACTCCAGGGCCCGCCGCCCCATGAAATCCCTTGCTTCCAGGCCAGACTGCCCATTCAATCTCCTTGCTTCCAGGCCGCGCCGCCATCTGAACCCCCCTGCCTCCAGGCCCGACGCCATTCAAACTTCCCCATTCCAAACGCCGGCCCCACTTCAAATCCGTGGTATCCAGGCCCGACTGTTGATTCAAATCTTCTGGTTCCACGCTCCCCCGCCCGTCCAGATCACTTGGTGCCCGGCCCGACTCCCCAATGAAACTTATTTTTCTAGGACCCACCGCCCGCTCTGACGTCTGGCTTCCAGGCCAGACGGCCTATTCAAATCCGCTACTTGCAGGCCCCACCGCCAGTTCAAACCCCTTGCTCCCAGGACTGACTCCCCGATCAAACTCCTCCTATGTTCCACGCCCCGCCGCCAGCTCGCATGCGCCACTTCCATGCCAGACAGCCCATTCAAGCCCGTGGCTCCCGGGCCACGCCACCCGTTCAAATCCCCTGCCTCCAGAGGCCCGACCGCCCGGTCAAATTCCCCCTCTCCAGTTTCCGCCGCCCGCTCGAAGCCCTTGCTTCCCCAGACTGCCCATCCAAATCCCTGCGCCCCGGCCCCGACGCCCTTGGAAACCGGGCGCTTCCAGGCCCGACTCCCCAGCCGAACTCCTCTCTTCCGGGCCCCGCCGCCCCTTCAGGTCTTTCCTTCGGGGCTGGACAGAACCCCCAATAGTGACACGTCGATTAGTGAATTGTCCGTTTTCGGTTCTCGAGAGGGCGCCGCGGCCGTTATTTTCCAGGCTTGCGCCCGCCAGGTTTGGGCCTCAGGTCGTTTTCACTAAACCACGTTTTACTAAAGGGGGGTCTGTCCATCCCCGATTCCTGGGCTTGCAGGCCAGCCTGCCCATTCACCCCCCCTGCTTCCAGGCCCCGCCGCCCGTGTTACCCCCCGGCTCCCAGGCCCGACTCCCGCATCAAGCCCCTGCTGCATTCTAGGCGATCATGTATTACAAATAAAGGGGCAAAGTATTAAAAACAATTCTGGGTTTATGCAGTGATTTATTCGTAAGTTAACCATGTATCACAAATCCTCAAATTTGAAACATCCCATGTATTAGAAACTGCCCTGTAGGCCCCGCCGCCCTTCCGAGTCCCTGGCTCCCAGGCCAGACTACCTCACCAGGCCCCGCCGCCCTTTCCGATCTACTGTTCCCAAGCCCGGCTCGCCCGTCAGGCTCCAGCCTTCCAGGCCCCGCCGCCCCTTCAAGCCCAGGGCCTCCAGGCCAGACGGCACCCGAAAGCGGCATACCGGCCACGCCGCCCGTTCGAGCCTCCTGCTTCCACGCCCGACTGCCCAGCCGAGACCCCCTCATCCTGTGCCCCGCCCAATTCGAGCTCCTCGATCCCAGACCCCGCCGCCCATCCAAACCCTTGGCTCCAGGGCACCACCGCCCGTGCAGCCCCCATGCCTTCCCGGCCCCGCCGCCAGCTCAAGTCCACGACCTCCAGGCGAGACTGCTTGTCCAAACCCCTCGCCACCAGGCCCACCACCGTCCATTCAAGTCCCCTGCTCCCAGGCCCGACTACATTCCCAAATTCACGCCTTCCAGGCCTACTGGTCGATCGAATTCTCGGCGTCCACGCCAGACTGCCTATTCAAAACCCCTGCTTGCAGGCCCCACCGCCCGTTCAAATCCTTCGTTCTCGGCCCTGCTGTCCTCTCAATTCACGTGGCTTCCAGAACCACGGTCCGTTCAAATATCATGCTTCCAGGCCCAGGTGCAGTTTCACCCCCCCTGCTTTTAGAACCTTGTCGCCCGTTCAAATCTCCCGCTCCCAGGCCCGCTTGTCCCCTCAAAACTTTGGCTTCCAGACCCGCTGCCCATTCAGATCTCGTGCTTCCAGGCCCGAGTGCCCGTCTAAACTTCTCGTCTCCAGGCCCTGCCGCCCGTTGAGACCTCCCGTTCCCGAGCCCGACTGCCCTCGCAACATCCTGGCCTCCGGGCCCCTTTGCCTCTTCAGACTTGTTGGTTCCACCCCCTAGAAAACCCTTCAGGTTGGCCCTCGAAATCATCTGGTTTTCTCCTCCTCCTCCTCCTCCTCTTCCTCCTCCTCCTCCTCTTCCTCCTCCTCCTACAGCGTGGGGGGCGGCGCGAACGCGCGAGCATAATCGCCCTTCGCGTTCAGACGGTTGCCCTGGGTGGAGGCACAGCCAGACGGCGCCGCACCGCGAGCGGAGCGGAGAGGTGCGCGAGAAGCTTGGCCCCGCGGCATGGGCGTCGGAGCGTCTGGGAGGTGGACGGATCGGTCGCCATCAGTTGCACCCTCACATCTTTGTGGACGGGTCAACAGGGCTTGTTTCGATTCTTCCGATTCGATTCGATTCGACTTCGACGGCTTCCGATTCCGATTCGATTCGACTTCGGATTCCGATTTTGGCTCCGATTCTTTCCTGGAGGCGTACGAGCCTGCCGATTTCCGCCGATTCAGCTTTCCCCGACTCGGCTGCCGATTTCCGCCGATCCGACTCATTTCAATCGCCGATCCGACTCATCGATTCGATTCTGGGCCCTCCTGACATGCGAACCCTACCCCTACACCCCACGAGTTCTGTGGGGGAGGGTGGGGTTCACTTCGTTCGGGAGCTCACGAGCGAAGTAACCCCACCCCCCCCCTCAGAAATCGTGGGGGGTAGGGGTAGGGTTCGCACGTGGCCCCCTAAAGAAGGAAACAACTGCACCCTCGCATCTCTGTGGACGGCTCAATCGGATCGGGCGCCCTCGGTCGCCAGCCTGCAGCCTGCGTGCTGGCGGAGCGCCGCTCGCACTCCGGCGCGTGCAGAGGAGAGCCAGATGCGGGGTCGGCATTGCGGTTGTCGCGCGCCCCGTCGCCCTCGACGTTTATTCTGCCCCCTGGTTCGGAGGAGGAGGAGGAGGAGGAGGAGGAGGAGGAGGAGGAGGAGGAGAAGGGGGGGAGAGGAGGAGCAGGAGGAGCAGGAGCAGGAGCAGGAGGAGGAGCAGGAGCAGGAGGAGGAGGAGGAGGAGGAGGAGGAGGAGGAGGAGGAGGAGGAAGAGGAGGAGAGGAGGAGGAGGAGAGCAGAAGGGGGGGGAGGAGGAGCAGGAGGAGGAGCAGGAGGAGGAGCAGGAGGAGGAGGAGGAGGAGGAGGAGGAGCAGGAGGAGGAGCAGGAGAAGGAGGAGGAGGAGGAGGAGGAGGCACTCTTGGGGCCTTCGCTCTGCCGCAGGCGAGGGCGCAGAAGAAGGCCGCGGCCAGGTCCGCAGGGGCAGAGGAGGCGCGGCGGCCTCCTCCCTGGCCGCCGCCCGCCTTCCCCGGGGCCTTGCGCCCGCTCGGGGGCCGCCTCCCTCCCCTCCTCCCCCTTCCTCCCTCCCCCTCCTCCCTCCCCCTCTTCCGCCCACCTTCTCGCCCTCCCTCCTCCTCCCTCCTCTCCCTCCTCCCACCTCCTCCTCCCACATCCTCCTCCTTCTCCTCCTCCCGGCGGGCCACGGCCGAAGGAGGGCCGCCGGCGGGCTCCACGAGCCCGCAGAGCGCCCGCTCGCAAACGTCAGGAAAACAGGTGTCTGCGTTTAGGTCGGGCGTGTGCCTTCGGCGAGGGCCGTCGAGGAGCATCCTTGATCACTTGGCGAAAAAAACACGCACGAAACCGAAAACAAGCACGGGGAATGGACGTCCGAGCGATGGCCGCCTCTCGCCTTCCCCGGGGCCTTGCGCCCGCTCGGGGGCCTTCTAGTCGGGGGCGGAAAAGATGGGGGTGATGACACTAGGGGGGGGGGGGGAGTATCATGGCGCGGGCCATGATGTCTCCGCAGACTTCACGGCGCCCCTTCTTATTTCATTGCGTCCCAGGCCCCCCCCCCGCTGGGCCGCGCACATGCCGCCGGCCATGATTTGCACCCCCCCCTCTTGGACCCCCCTCTCTTGGCCGCTCCCGATCTAGGGGGGCAGAGCGGGGGACGCTGAGGAGGATAGGATGGGATAGATAGGATAGTTACACATGATTCATTTCTAAGTGTTCGAACGTGCTTCGATTTTTTGGGGGCTAAGATCCTTTCATTTCTAAGTGTTCTATTCTGGGCCTCTTCCTGGCCACTAGGTGGCCAGGAACAATTAGAAACGAGCACACTTAGAAATGAGCACGATTAGAAATGAACGACGTGCAATGTCAGCTTGCGATTAACAAATGATGTCCCCCGCAAGGCGCTGATGAAAAGACCCCGCGGGGCGCGAAACATGTTTTTTTATCACGCGCGCCATGGGGTAGTGGCGGGCGCCGCCGAGGGGATCGTGTACCCCCCATGTATGACAGCCTGAAAACGATTGCCTGTTCGTGAAGAAGTTGTTCGAGGGCTCGTGTCCGAACTGAATTGTTTCCCCCTCTAAGGCGTCGTCGCGTTGTCGTGGTCGTCGTCGTCGTCGTCGTCGTCGTCATCGTTGTCGTCGTCGTCGTCGTGGTCGTCGTGATCGTCGTCGTCGTCGTCGTCGTCGTGGTCGCCATCGTCGTTCGTCGTCGTCGTCGTCGACTACAGCCACGACAGCGGGCCTGCGCAGCATACCTCCCATAGGACATCCGCAGTGCATCGTCGTCGCCGTCTGCCGTCCGTTGTCCTCGTCCTCGTCCTCGTCCTCCCCGTCCTCCTCTTCATTGATTGGCCTTGTCATCGTCCTCGTCGTTGTCGTCGTCGTCGCCGTCATCGTCACCGTCGTCGTCGTTGACTACACTAGGCCTACTAGTCGTCGTCGTTGTCGACGGCTACAGCGGGCCTAAGAAGCACCCCCCACATGGCATTTGCAGTGCGTCGTCGTCGCCGTCGTCGTCATTGTCGTCGACTGCAGCACCCTCCTGCTGGGGCATCCGCAGTCCGTCGTCGTCCGTCGTCGTCGACGTCGTCGACGTCGTCGTCGTCGTCGTCGTCGACGTCGTCGTCGTCCGTCGTCGTCGTCGACGTCGACGTCGTCATCGTCGTCGTGGTGGTCGCCGTCTTCGTCGTCGTCGTCTTCGTCGTTCTCGCCGTCGTCGCCGTCGACGACGACAGCGGGCATACGCAGCACCCCCGACCCCCCCCCATGAAGCATCCGCAGTGCGTCGTCGGCCGCCGTCGCCGTTGTCGTCGCCGTCGCTGGTGGTGCGGTTCAGGGCCGTTGGTTCGGTACCCCCCTTGCTCTCCTCCCTCCCCTCTTCCATTCCCACACGCTTCTTGCCCCCCCTCCACTCCCCCTCTCCCTGCCCTCGCCTCGTTTCGCCATATCTTTTCCCCGCCGGCCTTGTGGTGAGACAAACCTGGTTATGCGTTGTCGTCATTTGTTTCAGTTCAGCGCCCTTGGAAGTCCCGACCTTTTCCCCAGGGCAGGTTTTTAGTCGCGAGTTGTTTTCTGACGGTCCCGGGGCCTGGCGACGGCCCCCCGAGGCCGAAAACGGCCGATCAGATCCCCGTCGTGACCTTTGACGACGCGAGCACGTCTGCGCCGAGCTTGGTCTGCAGATGTCGACCAACGGCGGCGCCACGTTCGAGAGGTCCCGTCGAGGTCCAGTTGCCTCGGCGTACGTAGGGCCATCCAAACCAACATGTTTGTGAGACTGGCCTCTTCCCCCCTGTCGAAGAAGAACAATCGAAGACAGAAGCATTCTTTTTCTTCGAGCGATCCCTACCAAGGAACGCGAGGCAGAACCCATGGAGCACGGGTCCTCTGGGGGCCTGGCGGCCGCGGCATGCAGTCGTCACTCGTCGAAGGCATGATGCGGGAAACCCGGTGAGCGCCAGCACGTTTTGGGTATGGCGGCCGCGGTTGATTATCAGGGGCAACGACAGGGGGGGTAGGCATGCATCCTGGGATGCATCGACCCCCAATCGCCCATTGATCGCCGATAGGGGCCCGATAGCCCCAAACTGCCAAGGAAGGTGCGGATTCACGATCGCAAGCCTATCGCCGATGTATCGGCGATGCATCGCCGACTCCAGGTCGATGCATCCCCCCCTTTATGCCAGTCACCCACTATCGTTGCCCCTCAGTTATGCAGGGTGTGCGAGGCGGGTCGGGAGCTCTTGTTCTTTCAACATGACAGCCCCCCTCCCTGTCGGGTGGGGAAAGAAGACGGCATAGCGCGCGCCCGGGGGAGAGGAGTCATTAGCGCCGATCCAAGGAAGCATCGCAGATCTCTGACAGTTTACCCATCGGGCGTTGAGAATCTGTATTTCGGATTCCCAGATTCCAATCTGCTTTGAGCGCCTTCCTACTTCAATCGTCGAGTGGCTTCACCTTTTCCGTCCTCTTCATGGGGGCGGGAGGACACCCAATATATTTTCAACGCCTTCCTATTTCATGTTTCTATATACTTCTTCCGACCGAACCGATGGGTACGTTGATGCCGATGTTTGTCCTCCACAGCTTAGAGCTTAGATGCTCGTCCGGGGCCCACTATCCGCGCCTAGTTCGACATTAGTTCGGTTCTAGCTCGACTCTAGTTTTGCTCCAGTTGAGGGGCGTTCGACACAGCATCGACGCACGAGTGAAGCGAGTGGCTCAAGGAAGGTCCCCAGAAGCTCGCCGAGGTTCGCCGTCGCCCAGAAGCACCTTGCGTACATGTTCAGGTATCCGTGTTATTTTAGCACGATGGTTGGATTCCTTCCCCCCACCTCTCCTTCGCCTCGTCATCCGACATCCCCCTCCTCCTCATGCTTGTCTTCCTCCTTTGACGTGGTTTAAACTTGAATGAACTGGGATGGGCCGCCAGGGCGCAGAGTATGCGTGCCGAAGTCCTTGAGGGGGGGGGATGGAGGTGATGACTATCCTCCTGCTCCTCCTCCTCCTCCTCCTCCTCCTCCTCCTCCTAGCTCCCCCCGCCAAGCCATGGGAGCAGGGCCCGCTCGCAGGGCCTGGAGCCGAGAGCCCGCGCCCTCTCCGCCGTGCGCCCGAAACGTGCCAAACCCCGTTCGGAGGCCGCACGCCAAAGCTTAAGATTACCTGGCATCCTCCTTCTCTTCTGCTTCCTCGTCTTCTTCGTCCTCCTCGTGATCATCAGCAGCATCATCACCATCATCATCAAGTCATCCTCATCATCATCATCATCATCATCATCAGCAGCATCATCATCATCATCATCATCATCGCCGTCGTCATCATCATCATCACCATCGTCATCATCATCATCTTCATCAGCAGCATCACCATCATCGTCGTCGCCGCCGTCGTCGTCAACATCATCATCAGCAGCAACATCATCATCGTCATCATCGTCATCGTCATCGTCATCTGCATTAGCAGTATCATCATCAGCAGCAGCATCATTATCATCGACATCGTCATACTATTCAGCATCATCAGCATCAGCATCACCACCACCACCATCATCATCATCATCATCATCATCATCATCATCATCATCATCATCATCATCATCATCATCATCGTCATCGTCATCGTCATCGTCATCATCAACATCATCATCATCCTCATCATCATCATCAGCAGCAGCAGCAGCACCATCGTCATGCTTGCCATCCTCCTTCTCCTCGTCCTCCTCCTCCTCGTCCTCTTCCTCCTCCTCTTTCTCCTCCTTGTCCTATTCATGCTGCCCTTTCTCCTCCCCCCTCCTCCGCCTCCTCCTCATCATCCTCATCCTCTTCCTCATCCTCATCCTCCTCATACCTCCACTTACCTCCCCCCCCCTCCCCCCTCCAGTTTCCCCTCCTCCTCCTCCTTCTCCTCCTCCGCCTCCCTCCTCCTCCTCCTCCTCCTCCTCCTCCTCCGCCCGTCCGCCCATGCGGCAGCGGGCTCGTCGGTGAGTGCCCGCCCGTGCCGACCCCAGCGTGCCCCGGGTGCCTGCGGAGAGCGGGCCGCGGCCGGTGGCCCAAGGGGGGCAGGCGAGGGTCCCTCCCCATCGGCGGGAGAAGGGGTGCGAAGCTAGAGGAGGAGGAGGAGGAGGAGGAGGAGGAGGAGGAGGAGGAGGAGGAGGAGGAGGAGGAAGCGGCGGCCGCGGCTGATCGCCCCCTGCCCCATCGGCGGGAGGAGTCGGGCCTGTCCCTCCACAGGAGGAGTAGATTCAACAATCGTAGAAAGATCGTCTGGGGAAGATTTTCCTATTGTGTTTTGCTGTTTAGTTTTGATTCTTTTTGGCTGTGTTTTTGACTTTTCGTCCTAAACCCTTTTAGGGGGACATGCCCGACCTAAAGCTAGAGGCGGCCGCGGCCGATCGCCCCCTGACTGGTGATGGCGAGGGCCGCGCGGCGCGCGCGTCGGCGCGCCGCGGTCGGGCCCCCCGCGGTCTGGCCGACTGCCTGCGCCGC